TGAACTGGCCAAGATCGTCAAAGTCCAAAGTGAGATCCCAAAATCTGTGTGTACCTGTAATAACAACATATATTTATCAGTGCAATATTTCAGCATGTATGAGACAATTGTGTGTAATTAAATGTAATATCATGGCCAAATAATTTAAATATTCTCAAAGACATGGGGAAGCCATAAACTTAAATGAAAAACGGATGGATATGACGTGATTATGCTGGACATGACAACAATGCAATGACTAACACTGTCAATCGACTTGATTTACCTAACATACATTTTCCATCAAAATCATATTAAAAACTAAAATAAGTACTAGTCACCACTGTAATAAAAAATAAACGATACTACATAGGATAACGATAGCGGTAACTATGGTATTTTGGCGGTAAACATGCCTACCATGGTACAATTTTGTAATGGACTTTAGGGTTTAACTCCCTAGGAACCATATTTACTGTATGACCAAGGTACTTGGATGTGGACACTGTAATAATTTCATATTATGTGGAAGTAAATTTAATAATGTAGGTTTGCCTGCAGCCTGCTGATCTGGAGACTGTAGCTCTTTAATTCGGTCTTTCAGTAACGTACAGCTCACTTCCGTTTATTTGTTAAAAGCTTCAAACATCGATCATAAAGAGTAACTTCTCAACATGTCAAGTTCCTCACATTATTCGCAACCCCATCATAAAAATACTTTTGGATAAAAACTCGTTATTGATCAATCAATAAGAGGACAATTAGAAAGAACTTACGCGCTCGGATCCTGAAACTCAGCGCTGGATGTATGTACAGCTCAACATGAGACGCGCTGGTTCGCTGAGGGCCAGTAATCTCAGCGCTGATTGGCTGAGCTCGTCATGTTTCTTCTGCGATTTGTTTTCAACGTTGTTCATGTGATGCTTGTCAGCGCCGCTCAGGGATCAGGAGATCATAACAGAAACTCAGTTTATTTTCTTCAATTTATAGTAATTTTTTTAGACCAGAGGCGTAGTCAGATGTACATTTTACATTTTGCTTTTTATTATATTTTACATTTGTTATTTAGAAAACACTTCGTCTTCTATTCTATTTATAAAAAATAAAAGAGTATGTGTAGGCTACTGCGTTAGATTAAAACTGAGAAGAGTCATAGCACATGCATTTTGTTGTCCTACTGTTAGTTGAACTGCTTCTATTGTTCTCATTTGTGAGTCGCTTTGGATAAAAGCGTCTGTTAAATAAATAAATAAATAAATGTAAATACAAATGTAAATGTAAATTTACATCTTGTGTTTTGTTTCTCCAAAAACTCCATTTAGGTCATCTCATAATTTGCGTCATAATAACCAAATTTATTTTTACACTCCACAGATCAATAAAGAAATAGGAAGATATGCATTTCAATATAAAGCACCATATGATTGGAATAAACTTCCAATTTCAATTCCCTTTTTAACTTCTTTTCCAATATTTAAAAGTCATTTAGCTCAACATCTTCAGAATACATGCAATTGCTTTTGATTAGCATTATTTTATTTTATTATATTTATTTCTCACTGTAACTTTTTTCTTGGCATGGTACATATATATTTTTTGTCTGTATATGATTTTACTTGTGTTTTGATGTTGTCTTGGTACAAATGATATGGTTTACTTTGTTTAGGGAGGAGTGTGTCACCTTTTGGGAGTCTTGTATGAATGAATGTCTTGTTTGCTTTTGGCTTATATATTTAGCTGTATAGTACTATAGCATTTTTTTTCTTGTGTATTTGTTTTTTGTTTTTGGCTTTTTCTATTTGTTATGTTAAATTCCAGCTGCTGTAAGGTCAATTTTTTATTTGAATCTAGAATCGAGGACCTCCTCGAAAACGAGATGGTTCATCTCAAGGGGCTATTCCTCTTTAATAAAAATGTCAAATAAAACTATTACAGGTGCGCACTATAGCCTCTGTATTGGGACATAGCTGTGTTATATGTAATATATATATATATATATATATATATATATATCAGTTTTTGTATACATTGTATCAGTTTTGTTTTTGGAGAAACAAGATGACACAAGATGTAAATTTACATTTATTTATTTATTTATTTATTTATTTATTTATTTATTTATTTATTTATTTATTTATTTATTTATTTATTTATTTGTTTGTTTGTTTGTTTGTTTGTTTGTTTGTTTGTTTGTTTGTTTATTTATTTATTTATTTATTTATTTATTTATTTAACAGACGCTTTTATCCAAAGCGATATGTGTGTGTAATTATGGATCGGGAAGGACATTTCCTTGGTCATTATTATTTTTTTGGTAAGCTGCTCCTAATGGTTTTGTTCAGCTGATAAAATGTGCATTGTGTTATTCGCCTGATTTCAAGAGAAATTAAAACATTTCTGGTCTCAATTTTACAAAGGAGAGCTGTAAGGTTCAAGTTTTAAGAACATTTCCCTTCTAAGGTTAGAAATAAACATCTTGTTTATGATATTTCTAAATAAAAAAGAGAGTGGCTCAAATTAGAACAAGACAAAAAGGTAAAGGAGGTTCAGTTTTAAATTATTAATGATAGTTATCCTTGTAATGAGTCCCCCAGACACAGATTTATTTTGGTTTGCAATTTGCACCTTTTGTGAAGCAAAACTAGTTGTTGGAACATTTAATTTATTCATGGACATTTTCAAACAGATTGGGATGAGCTTTATGTTTGGTTAAGTTTGAAATGTGTAATATCTGACTTTGATTCTAAAACTATGGGCTAAAATACTTTTCTTTTACTTTAAATTATGATTTTTGGTTAACAAAATTATGCCGTTGGCCAGTTACTTCATACATAAATGCAGATTATTTAAGAACCGTCCCACAGTTTTTCTTTTCCATAAAGATTTTTTTTGAATTTTTTTCAAATCCTTAAAACTCATGCGTAACCAAAAAATGTTTGCTTCAGTTTCCATACTCAAATAACTTTCATGTTTCAGCTTGGTCTAGCCAATGCGCAAGTGCAGTGTTGAGCAAAGGTTGAGCACAAGTTTTACATAAAGACCAAGCGGTGACTGGTCAATAGGTTAAGCTATACTATAATTCAGTCACCAAAATATGCATACAGAAAATATTTATGATCACATTTATATTATGAATAAAGTCGATCAACAAGTTGCTTTTCTACGAACCCTAACCATTGCTTTGCTAATAATTCTATATTGGCTGCTCTAAAATGATTTAATCTGTTGTGCTAAAAGGAGTGATGGCTGATTTTCTCTTTATTTTCTTACTCTGACTGTAAACAAAAAAGAAAAGACAAAAGCATTTATCAGAAATTTAAGTAATCTTTTGACTGATGATTTTATTCTGACTGTATGAATTCTTTTTTTATTCAATCAACATACACTGTCTCTTTTCCTCAGGTGTGCAGAAAATGGGATGATCAGAATAATGCAAAAATGTGATGAGAAAGGAGATGAGATGAATTTCCCCAGTCCATCAAGGATTCATCACTCAGAACAAGTGGAATAATAACAGAGCTTCTCTTGAGAGCGTAAAACATTACTTCAGCATTGTGTGCATTGAGAGGTTGAAGAAGTATGTGGGAAAGAGCAGCCTGCAGAAAACAGATAATTCTGTAATTCTGCAGAAGTGAGCATGTACAAGTTTTCATAAACAGCCATTTCACCCTGTAGCCCAAGACTGCTTGTCCACTGAAGCTAAGCAGGGCCGAGGCCTGTCAGTACCTGGATGGGAGATCTCCTGAGAAAACTATTCTGCTGGAAGAGGCCAGCAGGGGGCGCTCAGTCTGTGTGGGTCCTAACGGCCCAGTATAGTGACAGGGACACTGGACTGTAAAGCACCATCCTTCAGATGAAACCTTAAACCAAGGTCCTCCTGACTCTATGTGGTCATTAATTAGCATTAACTAGCCAAATTCAGTCATGGCCACCTAATAATCCTCATTCACTGAATTAGTCTGATTTTATGTTGTGGAGAAAAGTCATCTCTTTCTTGCAAATGAAACTCAAGAGTTCCAGATGTCCCTAATCTCTAAGTGTGGAATCCTGACCATTGATGGTCTACCCTCTTTCATTGGTAAAGTGTGATATTTTCCAATGATGTTCTCTGATGTTCCCCAGAATAAAACATTTGAAAAGATAATTGTGACTTTTTATCTCACAATTGCAAGTCTTTACATCTTTATTTCTCAGAATTGCAAGATATTAATTCACAATTGTGTGTTATAAAGCCAGAATTGCGAGATATAAAGTCAGAATTACTTTTAAGTTTAGATCTCACAATTCTGACTTTACAATACGCAATTGCAGGTTTACATCACAATTCTGCCTTTATTGCACGAATTGTGAGATAAAAAGTTGCAATTACCCGTTTTATTTTTTATATTGTGGCAGAAACATGCTTCCATACTTCCCAGCAGCAAGACAGCAAGTGAGACTTCTTAACAATGGCTTTATTCTGTTCACCATCACCTGTTGTTTACTGGAAAAAAGCAATAACTGCAAACTTCTCAGATGTTCTAATCTTGACCTTTGTCAGTCACGTAGGCCATGAGGCCTCAGACACATCTGGCTTTTATAGTATTTAAACTAATTCTACAATTGTTTTCTATAGGATAGATCAACCATTTCAGCAGTCACTCTCTCTCCAGTCCACTTATAGCTGGTGTGTGGTGAGCACACTGACTATTGATTAGGACTTTTGTTTTTTCTAAAAGTATTCATTTTCTTTGTACTCTGTTCAAGCTCTGTGACGTTTCCTCCATTATAAATAAATAATGGTTTGATCTTTCTGACATCATACATGTTTCATTACAGCTTGACAACATTGCTGAGAAAAAAGTTTGCACAACAAAGCAACTCAAATTCTAGGCCATATTTGACCTACACAATTTGACCTTAGAGCCCATAAGATCATTTTTTGTTGTGTTGTCTTAGTTTGAGTTAGCAACAGAAAATTCAATTCAAATATTCCAAATCACACAGTAAATAGGGTCTTTAGTTTGGGGACTGTTTAATTATTTTTTTACTTTGTCAGATACAGTAATAAAACAGTGAGTGACGTGAACGTGAGATCAGATGTGTGATGATCTGAACTTTCACTTCACGTATCAGGAGATTTACATGTATTTTCTGTATTTTAGCTGTTTATAACACAAATAAATCAACTTTTAATTTTTTTAATTGAATCCATCTTCAGCCTGATCCACTCAGGGACTCGAGATTTGAGAGAGAAAGTCAGATAACTAATGATTCTCAACACACAGGTCATTACTTATTTGAAGCACTACACTTACATATCTATAAACAATTGATAAAGATCTTTGACAAACGCTTAAAATTCACAGTACAAAAACAAAACGCAATATTTAAAATAAAATAATCCACTTTTTTCAGAATCTGTACAACGAACTATCATTAAAATCTTTTAATATAAAAATACCTGCAGAGAGTAACCAACCCAAACACAAACACAGAATCTTAAATTCTAAGCATAGACTGAAACACAACATAAAACTATTCTGACAGGATTATTTACAAGCAGTTTCTCTGCACTATTCAGCCTTCAGGATCACCTCCAGGTCCAGGTTTACTTCTCCTTCTACACAAGAGACAAGATATGAAATAAGCAGACAGACAGTTATACAGGAGAACTACAGACAGCATCAATGAATTTTAAAAGTGAAATTTGAGAGTGTGATTTAGCAAAAAAAATATGTTACTTACCTTATTCTCTAATTCAGAATCACTGGAGTCTAAATGAAAACAAAAATTGACATGCTTGGGTATTTAATACATTCTAGGGCATTTCATATTACAAATACAATTATTTTTTCAATGGAACAGATATTTTTATCGTCAGTTCATGTGTAAATAGCTCTTCTGTGCAGCAGTGATGTTAGAAAACCCTCTTACCAGAAGAGCTGAATGTCCAGTAGAGAAACTTTATCATGCCATAAAGCACCAGAGCAACAGCGACCATCGCCATCGAGTCCTCAATAGAAGGAGCACTGACACCTGTATGAACAAAATATCACATCAAGAGATGCAGAACATTCTGACTGACAGAAATATTCTGCTGGAAATTAAAATATGAATCAGACTGTCATAAAGACCCACCATTGAAATATAGACAATTGAAGTGGACGTAAAACTACTCAGGTTTAATGATTGATCATAAACACTGTCTGAAAAAGATGCGTCAGTCTCACTCACCAATCACACTGAGTGTCGCTGTAGCTCGCCGTGTTCCTCCGTCGTGTTTGGCTACACAGGTGATGTCACCGCCGCGACCGAGCCTCATCTTACCCGAGTCCAGCTCCAGACGACTGCTCTGACTGAAGGTACCATCAGACGCCTGTCTGTGACCCGTTACACCACCCTGACCCAGAGAGCGGGACTTCCCATCAGCCCCGGTGAACTCCCAGCCCAGATCCAGAGTGTGAGGAGCAAAACCAGACGCTTCACACTGGACCAGCAGCACCTGCCCAGGAACCAGCAGAGGAAGAGGAGAAGGGTAGATGGAGAGAGATGGAGGCTCTGGAAAGAAAAGAGGTAGTGATGGTTACCATTACATATTATATATACACATGATCAAACATCATATCCATAATAATTTATGCAAATCTGACTTGGCTATGGCAGGCTCAGTGTATTGAATCATCTCACCAACTATCTCCAGGTCCACGGCTACCTGAGCCAGCAGATGTGGAAGATACACTGTGCAGATGTACGTTCCTGAGTGTCTCACTTGAGATTCTTCCAGAATCAGAGATGCATTTCCTGTTTCATAGAGGCCTGTGATGTCTATATCGGCTCCGGTCTCTGATGTCTCGGCAAACCGATCGTTCTTGCCATCGTAAGCGAGGACCAGCCGTCCTTCACCCCGAAACTGATAACGCCACTCGACAGAGAATCCAGAGCCGTGGACTAGAGAAGACGGGTCGACCCAGAACCCACAGTCTAACAGAACCGGTTCTCCCAGTCTAGAGCGGACCACAGGAGTTTTACTGGAGACACTGAGAATGACTTTAGGAAAGAGAGAAATATAGGATGCATGGTGAGCAAAGATAGTGTTTAACCATCATTAGAACAGAAGGGCAAAAACTAATGTAGGTCTTATTTAATAAATTAAAATTAGGGCTGTATAGACTGTATTATACTGTATAGATTTTTATATAATTTATATTATATATTAATATAAATATTTCATATATAAATAATATTTTTTTCCTTAAATATACATGCATGTGTGTGCATATATATATATACAAAATAATCATACACAGTGCACCCACATATATTATGTAAACAAAAACTTTTATTTTGGATAGGATTAATCATTTGACAGCCCTAATTAAAATATAAGAGACATGAACTGCTAAATCAAATTGGAATGCAAATAAAATTTAAAACAGCACATTATAACTATGTATAATAATAATTCTTAATATTATTTATTAAATAATATAGATCATTATTATGTATTATGCAAAATATATGTATATATTATTATTTTATATAATGCATGTATTATTTTTTCTGCCAATACATAAGTTCAGGGTCTTTACCGTTTGGCTCTTTAGAAGCTGAAGGCGCTCGCATAATATTGGACAACGTCAGCTGATCATCAAGCCCTTGTGCCGCCACTGAGAACCAATCAGCTTGCAGGTAGACTGGACTTTGGGCGGAGTCAGTGAGAGCTGATGCCCATCTGACCATGGAGGCGTGAGGCATGAACGGGTTAATCTCACACTTTGGTTTGTTCACAGAGCCTTTGGGTGGGTTCAGGGCGGCACTACAGAACGTGCCAGCTGGATCTAGAGGAGAACAGTGCATTACAGTTTCATTATCATCAAATATCTGTTGACTGTAGCGTTGGATCTGGTTGGTGTAGAAAGGAGATTTAAAGACAGTATTTTTATTTGTCAGGCAGTATCATACTACTATATTAAATATAACAGTAGATACAGAGAACCAAGAGAACACAACATTAAACAAAATATTCTTTGACTCGAAGATGTACTTTTGTGGGTTATTAAGAGATTATATAGTCCACAAATAGCACATGTATTGACACTAACCAGTCACATAGTAAACTCTGGATGTGCTGATGTCTCCAGGAGGATGAAGATCAGATATGGTGTCTTCACTGTAGGCTTCAGTTCTGATGAACATTAGAGATTTCTCTTGACTCATTGGTACTGAGAAACCTCCTCCATGACCCGGCTTCTCCTGGACAAACCAGCACTCAAGAACCGGACACCCAGAACTGGACACTGCAAGACAAATGATTCTTAATTATGTTTATTGATCCCACATAATTAAATGTATAGTTTTGAGTAGGAACCAAAATGCAGCAAAACTTACCACCAAAACACAATGCAAATCCAATAATAGATATCTTGTATATGCTCAAAATATCAGACATCGTTGCTCTTGATGTTAAAATGACAATTATGTGCTTACAACTACGTATGTTAGGCGTGTTCTGTCGGTTTTCCCCTCACAACATTCGTGCACTCGGTTTCACTTTCAGTTTCAATGCGCATGTCAGTCTATGCTGTTTGTTTCGCGCCTATGCATATTGCAGGATATCGAAAATATAATACTCCGTGGTCACTTTAGATGTAAACGTCTTTTAACCACTTAGATACACTAAAATCATAACAACTATTTATATTTATATAACAATAGTGTCCACTGGGTGGCGGTCCAAGCCAACGATAGTCTTCCAAACTTCCAAATAAGTTTTTTTTTAACCATCACATGGTTTCACGGAACAGAGTCTGGTGCAGTTCAGGACAAATGGGAACACCACCTCTATCTCATTGCGTGGTAACAATAGAAAACCAAACCTGTATTATAAAGTGTAGTTTTATGCAGAGGGTTGTTTTTTTTATTGCAAATTAAAGAAAACATACAATAACAGAGAACAGAAGAGAAAAAAAATACAATAAGAGAGGGGTTACAGTTACAGACATCAAAATAGACTGCATTAGGTTTTACAAAACAATACAATTTTACAATTCGTTAAAATAACAAATTAAAGGTTCTTTACAACAGACTCAAGAATTATGTGTTTTAACCTTAGAGTTTAAAGGTTTTGAAAGATTTTTAATGGAAGAAAAAAGGGACTTTATATCAGATGAGAACATTCTAAAATCCGGCTTAGAGGGTTGTTTTTATATCAGACATTTTTACATATATTTTCCATTATTAGGCTATTCTTATTTTACCTTTTCAATTGTAGTACATTTTCACAGGTGTGAAAAGTACCAGTACAGACTCCTAATATAATGGGACTAAGTAATGAAGACCAAGTTGACCAGTGAAATAGCTTTAGGCTCCCCTATATAGAGTAATTGAGTGGCAGTTTCTCAGATGATGAGGCTGGGAAGAAACCAGGAAGAAACACACAATTGGCTTTATGCACAGCTTCACTACTTCCTGAATTTCAGCCAGCTCCTTGTTGACTGGAATTATAAGAGACCTTGAGCTTTTAAAAGAGGAATAAAGTGACCCCTTTGTAATTTATTATTACTATTATTTTATGTATTTTTTTATGTTTTTTTTTCCTTCATTGTAATTATTTTTATTTCTTTTTTTTTTTACCTTAAGTGACATGTGCCTTGCTTAATACTCATTTACCTGTATTTGTCAATGCCACTGTAGATGTATATTCTATTCTTGTTTTGTTCTTATTGTTCAATAAAAAAAAAAAAAAAAAAAAAAAAAAAGCCAGCTCCTTGTTTCCTGTCTGCCATTATTGGACACATTGATTAATTCAGGTGTGCTTGACCTCAGTAGTCACGGCAACAATAATCAGACACACCTGAATTAATCAATTTTGCCCAATAATGGCAGACAGGAAACAAGGAGCTGGCTGAAGTTCAGGAAGTAGTGCAGCTCTGCATAAAGCCCATTAAGTTTAGAGTTATAATGGATCTCTTTCATCAAGGCCAAAAGTAGCAAAAAAGACAGTGAGACATTCACAATATTAAAATGATATAAGTCATGGGCATGGCATGTTTTTTAATAATGTGTCTGTGTGTGTATAAACATGTTTTGTTTTAGAATTGAATATATTATGTAATACGTGCATGGGGTGCATGTATTGTAAAGATTAATTAAATTTGACAATTTATATGTTTGCAATGGATTTTTGAAGATAATCACCTGTCACCCACAAGTCTCCTGTCCTTGTGAATAGTGAACATTACGTGATTCCTTTAACTAACAAACAAGTTTAAGAACACAGAAATACCTCAAAATAACTGCAACACGGTCTTTAATCAAGGTAACGTTAGCCAGAAATATGTTAACAAAGGCAGGCAACACTGGTTGACCACAATAATCGTTAAATAATAGCAGATTTTTATATTTTAAAAAGTAACTACATACATACTATATTTACATGGTGTCAGTGTATTATATACAATTATACATATTGTAAACCAATGCATTTATTGACTACAAATTACAAAAAATACACAATTCCGCTCTCTAACTCCATCTATTTGAATAATGAACAGTACAGGCACCACACCGAAGCACTTCCTGACACTATCTGAGGTCTACGTGAATCACGTGACGACCAAACATTTTGAACTCCCGTTGTTGTTCTGGCGTAAAGTATATGAATCTTTTATCAGTTCAAAGGCGAGAATTAAGATCGACGTTTGTTTCAATTATTCGAAGTGATTTTTCAGGACCAAAAATGCGAGCCTTAGTGATTATGCTTCTCGGAGTTCATCTTGCCTATGCTGGTGAGTGCTATGTTATTTTAATTTTACGGTATAGTACCAGCCAGTGTAACGTTAACCTTTCTCTTATAAAGAATAAGTGTCAGTGTATGATATGTCTCTTAGGAATCTGATATCTTGAAAGAGACATTTATGAAGAGCACAAAGTCTTGTTATTGACACTTATGTTAACATTAAGTTACGTTACCCGGAAATAGCGTCTCTTGACGCATTTTACTTGTGTTCTTCTTTAACATTCCTTTTTTAAAATAAATATATGTAGGCTAATTTATATTATGTATTTTTTTCCACATTATTATTGTAGGTTATTTTAAAGATTTTGTTTAAATATTTCAACTTTGATGCCATATTTTATAAAACCCTCAATGTGACCAAAAAATATTATTTGATTTGTATATAATGTTTTATTTCATCAAATAAACATTGTATTTGTGACATTATTGTTTTTTAGTTTGAAGGTTTTGTTTTTGTTTTGTTTTTAAATGAGAAGACTACTTTGTTGTTTCATGCAGTTTCGTTTCAAACCTGAACAACGGCTTTTTACCTAGAGACTGATGATGGCTTACTTGCTAAACCAAAACATTGGTTAGGCTATGCCTTAGTAGCCTAGAGCATATTTAGGGATAAACCGAAATTTAGTCTAACCAAATTTTGTGGCCAAAACAAACAGTTTTCCGTCTTGGGGAGAAATAGTTTTGAAGGGCCGAAATCAGTGAACAAAACAGACGTAAATTAGCGCTTAATTCTCTGACGGCACGTTTTTTGACTGGCTTCTTGCACAGAACCTGAATGCTTGTCAGCGGTGTGGACACCATCTCTGGATTGACATTATTAAATTAGCCATTTTAATTGTTTGGCCTAATGATGGATTGATAAAGGTTTTCTGAATTGCTTAAACACATTTCTCATTACTAATAAGTTACACACTTTCTCAAAACCTTAAAAAAACAAATCGTCAAACTTACATTCAGAGAACCTCGGACTCTTCTGGCAAAATCAAACAATTGCCTCAAAACCATTTTATCTGTGCTCAAAATCAAACAATGCTTTCAGATCATACACACAGGGAGTCTATAGTATACAGTTTTTTTCCAACTGCTCAAATTACAAATCCAAGAATTACTCACACAAACTGCAAAATGCCTCACATCTCTTGCAAAATCAAGCACTGCGTTCTAAATATCACAAACACACATCAAAAGCAAACATTTGTCTTAAGTTGCAAACACATACAGTATGTCATAATATTATAGTTTTGGATTATATCATATACATACAGTTATTCAAAACGTAAAGCTCTTCTTTCATGAGCTCCTATGTAGATTTCTGTACAAGATTGAATGTTGGTGAAAAAACAAAATCAAGATTAAAAACAAACTAATTTTTTTATTGTAAGCAAAATTATAAGATAAAGTGAGAAGTAATAGTAAATAGTTTAGTCAGTAAAATAAACAAATAGTACACAGCAAATAAAATAGTAATGAAAAGGCTATTGTGAGAAATTATAGTCTGCTCCGATCCAACTTCCACTCCAATTGAAATGCTCCTTCACTTAAAAGAGCTTATTTATCATAGAAACAATTCCTTACAATCTCAGTAATATGTAAAAAGTATCACAGAGTCATGGTTCTCACCTATAGCGTGGGAGCGACAGCGTATTCAAGGGGCTTCAAATAGATGTTATCACCTTAAACATTTGGCCATTCTTATTTAAAAGAAGATCAAAGATGTGGGCACATTTAAGACAGCGCTTCAGCTCCATGATGAGAGAGAAGACGAATTTGTTATTCTTAACATACAAGAGTATTAGAGCATGTCTGAGGATAACCAGCTACGGCTGAACTCATAAGCATACAACATATCATTTGGAGTGAAAAAAACTAAGAGAAAATCCCCAAAAAAGTCAAAGGTACAAGCCTGTGTACATATTTTCATTTCCGAGCAAAGGAAATACTCCTTCCATAAACCTCCGCGCCTCACTAAAGTCGACTGAAGCCACCGTAAAAGAGCCTTTTGAGTGACTTCCAAATCTGACGACACCGGCCACGTGAACTTTTTCCTCCAGTGAATTTTATATAGTGAATGTGCAGGGGAAACTCCTTTTCCTCGATTTACAGAAGCTTATATGTAAAATGCATTTGCATCTGCAAATGCTAAAACATTGAGCATCTGGCTCGCTTATAGGCTGTGCTGCGGCAACCAATCCAATGGTGCGCATAGCTGTCAACATTGAACATTGAAAATAAGGGAGATTTCCTGGAATCCATCCCCAAAATAAGGGATTTTTTTTACACGATTCTTACTCACAAACTTTAAAAATAAAGCACTAATCATTTAAAAGTCTACACAGTTTATGACTAGCCTACATATGTGTAAGAGAGAAAGAGACAGTGTGTCATTTAAAAAAAAAAAAGTCAACATTTGGATTAGCGGTGTGTTGCTCTTGCCTTTACAACAACAATTTCAACTGTTATCACATATCTTCCAAAATCCGCAAAATAGGGAAGTGGGCTGTCTGTTTATTTTAATAACAATGACAAATTTTGTGTAGCTTTAAAGAGCCTATATTTAGCCTGATGGTGGACCGTCACTCAGAAGACAAACTATGCCTATCCTATCTTTATATCCTCTCGAGGAAATTAAATTCTAGGCAAAAATAATGTCAATATCTGAAAATCGATAATTATTATTAATATTATTTGCTTAAATTACATTGATATCTGAATTTATGTAAAAATTTATCTTAAAACAAGGTTGGTGCCCCATTAACTTTTTGCGTTTAAATGAGCATATACAATCACTTAGTACAGCCGTAGTTGGTTTTAAGTCTACAATTTATGGTTATGTTTTTATGGCTTATATCTCAAATGTCAATGGAGAAATTGTATTGAATGTTTACTTCCGGCACCAGCTGTGGGCGGGACTTTGAAGCTCTATGTTCTCTAAACGGTTTTATTTGAAATAGTTGCCGAATGCTCCTTTAAATCAGCAGTTGTCTAAGCTGCGGCCCAGAGGCCGATGACGAACTACTTGCTAAACCAATTAAACGGTGGTCTACGTTTAATTAAAAATAAATATTTTTCTTTTATCATGTATTGGAATAAAGCCCAGTAATAGAAAAAAATGTAATCCTGCCATTTAAAAGAACCAATCGCCTAGGAGAAATTGACTTCAGCATTTTGGTACACTAGATGGCAATATAAGGCCAATAATCATCCCCTCTTTTTCCGGCCAATAATAACAACAATATTTTGTTTCTGTGAAATAGAACATTAATAATCATTATTTTTACATTTTTGCTTTTTTCATTCCAGTATTGATGCTTTCAAATAATTCATTTAGTAATACAATTATCTTTCTTTTTTTACATTCATCTTTGCTTGCACTGATATCTTGAAATGTGCTCGTCTGTATTATCCACTGTTTACTGTATTTGCATGTCTTGTTATTGGAATTAGAGCTCCTTGGCCAATAAAGCTGTCAATATTTTTTTTATTAAAAGCACATCTTGCTATATTTTTAGGATAATAATAATAACTCTGAAAGGTCTCATTAAATGTGGTAACTCAGAAAACGTTGGGTTATGTTTTATTTTAGTGTCTTTATTTTAGAGTGTAAAATTTTACTTTTAAGTACTGATTAGAAATAATTAAGTAAATGTAATTATTATAGGGTTATGGTATGGTTTAGGGTTAGTTACAAGTAATTATGCAAAATGTAGTAATTACTATAGTAACTACATTTAACATGTATACTAAAATAAAGTGTTACCAAACTTTGAATATGAACATAATTACATATGGAGAGGAATTATTATGGAATTCATTTTTTTAAATAAAGGCTAATGATCAATATTACTATTCATGTACAACCCGAATTCCGGAAAAGTTGGGACATTTTTTAAATTTGAATAAAATTAAAACTATACGACTTTCAAATCACATGAGCAAATATTTTATTCACAATAGAACATAGATAATATAACAAATGTTTAAACTGAGAAATTTTACACTTTAATCCACTAAATGAGCTCATTTCAAATTTGATGCCTGCTACAGGTCTCAAAATAGTTGGGACGGGGGCAACAAATGGTTGAAAAAGCAATAAATTTAGAAAGGATTCAGGTGGGAGAACATCTATAGCAACTAAGTAAGTTAATTGATATCAGGTCTGTAACATGATTAGCTATAAAAGGGATGTCTTAGAGAGGTAGAGTCTCTCAGAAGTAAAGATGGGCAGAGGCTCTCCAATCTGTGAAAGAGTGCGTAAAAAGATTGTGGAACACTTTAAAAACAATGTTCCTCAACGTCAAATTGCAAAGGCTCTGCAAATCTCATCATCTACAGTGCACAACATCATCAAAAGATTCAGAGAAACTGGAGAAATCTCTGTGCGTAAGGGACAAGGGCGAAGACCTTTATTGGATGCCCGTGGTCTTCGGGCCCTCAGACGACACTGCATCACTCATCGGCATGATTGTGTGAATGACATTACTAAATGGGCCCAGGAATACTTTCAGAAACCACTGTCGGTAAACACAATCCGCCGTGCCATCTCCAGATGCCAACTAAAGCTCTATCATGCAAAAAGGAAGCCATATGTGAACATGGTCCAGAAGCGCCGTCGTGTCCTGTGGGCCAAGGCTCATTTAAAATGGACTATTTCAAAGTGGAAAAGTATTCTGTGGTCAGACGAGTCCAAATTTGACATTCTTGTTGGAAATCATGGACGCCGTGTCCTCCGGACAAAAGAAGAGGGAGACCTTCCATCGTGTTATCAGCGTTCAGTTCAAAAGCCAGCATCTCTGATGGTATGGGGGTGCATAAGTGCATACGGTATGGGCAGCTTGCATGTTTTGGAAGGCACTATGAATGCTGAAAGCTATATAAAGGTTTTAGAGCAACATATGCTCCCCTCCAGACAACGTCTATTTCAGGGAAGGCCTTGTGTTTTTCAACAGGACAATGCAAAACCACATACTGCAGCTATTACAACAGCATGGCTTCGTCGTAGAAGAGTCTGGGTTCTGAATTGGCCTGCCTGCAGTCCAGATCTTTCACCTATAGAGAATATTTGGCGCATCATTAAACGAAAAATGCGTCAAAGGCGACCACGAACACTTCAGCAGCTGGAAACCTATATAAGGCAAGAATGGGACCAAATTCCAACATCAAAACTCCAGACACTCATAAACTCGATGCCCAGACGTCTTCATACTGTTTTGAAAAGAAGAGGAGATGTTACACCATGGTAAACGTGCCCCCGTCCCAACTATTTTGAGACCTGTAGCAGGCATCAAATTTGAAATGAGCTCATTTAGTGGATAAAAGTGTACAATTTCTCCGTTTAAACATTTGTTATGTTATCTATGTTCTATTGTGAATAAAATATTGGCTCATGTGATTTGAAAGTCGTATAGTTTTCATTTTATTCAAATTTAAAAAACGTCCCAACTTTTCCGGAATTCGGGTTGTAATTCTGACTTGTGTTCATTTTGAATAGTTGTACGTAAGGATGTCTAATTTGAGACGATTACTAAAATTACAGTCTCCCTGTGTGTGTCTTCGTCCGCAGGAACACACTCTCTGAAATACTTCAGCACTGGTGTGTCTGGAGACATTGACTTCCCAGAGCTCACTACTGTTGGTCTGGTGGATGATGTGCAGTTTATCTACTTTGATAGCAATGCAATGAAAGCTGTGCCAAAGACAGAGTGGATGAGAGAGAGTGAGGGAGAAGATTACTGGGACAGTCAGACTCATACCAACATTGAGAAACATCAGGTCTTCAAAAACAACATCCAGATCGCAATGCAACGGTTCAACCAGTCAAAGGGTAAGTTAATAACAAAACCAACAGACAAAGCCAATATGATCAAATACAGACTTTGGTAGGATTACTGGCTAGTGAAATATTGGATCCCATTCTAAAAAGCATGTAAATGGTTAACTAGTGCGTAATTCAATGAATAATCACTTGTAGATATAAGTACAGGTAGCATTCCTTTATTCTGTTATTGTCTGCACAATAATTTACTGTTAGCCCAAAATAATAATGTGAAGCTTCACTCATTCTTTTGCTCTAAATCTTGAACTCTGACAATCCTACACAGATAAATAATGCAGCAATGTTGTTGATAGAAGGAAATGTCAAGGTCTGCTGGTTTCTTTTATTATTTTCAGTATTATTATCAGTCAAACACTAATATCCATACAAATCCATTTAAACTAATTTTAAAGGGATAGTTCCCCCAAAAATGAAAATTAAGTCTTTAATTACTGACCCCATGCTATACCCCGTAAGACCTTCGTTCATCTTCGGAACACAAATGAAGATAGAAAGAAGATAAAAGGCATTTATCTTAAAACAAAGTTACTGCTCCATGAACTTTTGGCGTTTATATGAGCATATACAATCGCTTAGTACGTACAGCTGTAACTAGTTTTAAGTCTACCATGTATTGTTACGTTTTTATGACTTATATCTCAAATATCAATGGAGAAATTGTATTGAATTTTTACTTCCGGCACCAGCTGTGGGCGGGACTGAATAGAACATGAGTGTGACGAAGGCTGTTAACCCTTTCCTGCCTGTGTTTTCTCCTCTACACTGCTGATGAAATGTTGCTCTTCTTTCTAGAATCGAGACACATGAGACGGTCAAGGGTGAAATAGGTCACAGTTTCCACAGTTAGATTAAAAAGGAATCTATCCCAGATTAAAAAAGAAAAGAAAATATAAACACATGAATCACACACAGGCTGGGGATTCTGTAGAATGAACTCTTGTGAACTGTTATTATGGTAAAGTTGAGTCACATATCAAAAGTGTGAAGAGTCTTGAGATTCAGTCAAACTGATCATTTAACAAAGACCAACAGATTAAAAAGAGACAGTCCATAAGAAGTATTTATTATCATTATTATTGAATACATAGCTGTCCAGTAGGATTTGTGAATGCTCTTTGTGGAACCAGACATCACAATATAAATCCATGTTGTTTGTTTATTGTCTTTGTTTTATTTCTCAGCATCTGGTCTTTTACTCTCATCATAATAAATTCACGACTCAGCTAAAATATTATTTATTTATATTTTTTTATAGAATGGCGGCTAAAATACAAAAAAAAATGTTCAGTCAGATTAATTTGATCCTGAGTCAGACATGTTGGGACTTTCTGATTGACTGATGATTTTAATCTGATGAATTGATTAATATTACAGATACATTCAATCTGTCTCTGTTCCTCAGGTGTGCACTCATTCCAGCAAATGTACGGCTGTGAGTGGGATGATCAGACTGGAGCAACAGATGGGTTCTTTCAGGAAGGATATGATGGAGAGGACTTTCTGTCTGGGGATTTTAAGGAGTCTACATGGATTTCTCCAGTGCAGCAAGGAATCCCCACTGTACAGAAGTGGAACAATGACAGAGTTTCTCTTGAGTATTACAGAAATTACCTCAGCACTCGGTGCATTGAGTGGCTGAAGAAGTATGTGCAGTATGGAAAGAGCAGTCTGCAAAGAAAAGGTACACCGGTTTTTATCCAGCATTGAACATATAGCCCTACATGTTTTGTAAAAAAAAAAATTTTGTACACTGGAATTGTCATTGTAAAAAATAGTTTTGTCACTTTATATATTGTAATGGTGTAGTGTTAATCATTCAAAATATATTGTTTTGAATATTTTAAGCAATACAGATCATGTGCTTTGTTTGTAGATATGAATTAAAATATATTCTTTAAATGACTTCAAAAGATCCAGGAAAAGCATGTTAATCTAATCTCGTCAATTATGAACCGGCTAGAAAAGTACAAGCTAAAGTAGGCATTATGTGTTGTAGTGGCTAAAGCTCAGTGTTTAGTTACAGGTTACTGTACAGATTCCTTAAGTTAAGAAAACCCTTAGATTACTGGTGTGTTTATTTACTCGACGTGACAAAGTTTCATTGAAGACCAGACACTGCAGGAAGACTGACCGTAGCCCAGTTATAGATAAGTAGAATCTGGATAAGCAGCTGTTTAGCATAGATAGATAGAAGAATCTGATCTTCCTGTTATAGAGCACAATCCCTGGTCCCTGGCTAACCTAGAAGACTTTATTGTTGTCAAGCATATCAAAATGCATATTTTATTGCTAAATTATAGGCTGACTGTGATGACAAGGAGCTCTGTCTCAGTTCTAAATATAGTGAAAGTCTAGAGGAGAAATGATTATATAGAGTGAATATACAAAACTTTATTCAGCTTTTACTCCTGCTCTTGCTTTAATTGAGAACAGAGCTGTTGAAGCACAATCTAGCAGACACTTGTAGAGCTGGGATTATTATGGCAGGTCCACCACACTTCTAACACAGATTAGACAATGAACTGGATGCATTTGGATCCAAGCTTCACAGTGTGATTTACATGACTTGTTTGGGAAGACCTCAAAATTGGTGTGATTCAAATGAGCTTTATTGGCATGACTTATACAGTGTTGCCAAAGCATTGGCTATTACATAATCAATAAATTAATCAATAAACAAATGCATGAACACTCTCTCTATAATAACAATTCTCTCTCTCTCTCCAGTCTCTCCTCAGGTGTCTCTGCTGCAGAAGTCTTCCTCGTCTCCATTGTCGTGTCATGCTACAGGTTTTTACCCCAGTGGAATAACAATCTCCTGGATGAAAAATGGACAAGAGCATCTTGAGGACGTGGATCTTGGAGAACTTCTTCCCAACGAGGACGGAACCTTCCAGAAGACGAGCACCATTAGAGTCTCACCTGAGGAGTGGAAGAACAATGAGTTCAGCTGTGTGGTGGAACATCAGGGCAAGAGTGTGACAGAGGACAAGATCAGGACTAATGGGGGTAAGAGAAATTAAATTAAAACAGACCAATGCTTTGTTAACAAGGATGTTTATAAGATTAAGAATGAAATTAGGATGAAATTATATTATTTCTATTAAAGAAACTATGGCATGTGAGTGTGGTCATTCTCAGTCACAGCTTGGCTTCTTCTCTTTAACAAACTTTTTTGACCTGCAGAGAGGAAACAATTACAGAACAAACAGTAGAGCACAACACATTATACCTGTATTGTCTTTAAAAAGCTCTCGCTTTTCAGTATGCTGTTAATATACACATGTGCTGCTGATCACAGTCACACACACACACTGTTTGAGATTGTCCATCAGTTCTGGTTAGTAGCATTATCCGGCTCTTTGAGTAATCTGACGTTTTTCTCTGATCAGATTCTCTTCCCATCATGGCGATTGTTGGTGTTGTTGCTGCTGTCGTTCTGTTGATCGGCATTGGTGTCATTGGGTTTGTGGTGTATAAGAAGGAACAAGGTGAGGACAGTTTTGGGCCGTACAAACTCTGAAATATCTTAAATAGGAAATAAGAAATATCAAATGTTGTTTCTGACTCAAACTAAATTCAAATTGCATTTGTGTGCTTCACTGATTGCAGTCTTAGTTTTGAAAATGTTACTCTTGTGGATGAATATTAAAAGAGAAATATATATTAGTGATGTCAAATTGATTAATCACAGCTAACATAAGTTTGTATATAGATTAGATTGATCATGATTACTCGATTTGACAGCATTTATAAATATAAATAAAATATACTTTCCTTTGTATTTGGTGTTCATTGATTGAAATTACTGAACTTGCATCTCACTTGATTGTTTTACAGGCTTTCAACCTGTCAGCGGTAAGTTCCTCATAAACACTAATTATAAAAATGATCATGAAAAACATGATGAGTTCTGCCATTGGTCATGATGTGGTTAATAGAAGTATCTTCATATATCTAAACCCATAATGTGATGTTTGATAATGTAAAATAATACAGTAAATAAAATAAAAGTTTTTCCTGAAACTTTTCTCTCTATTGTAGATCATATAAATATGATATGATATAGACAGAAACTGCTGTGCTAATCTATTCTTGTATTATCAGTCTGATGTTTTTATTTTAATGTTGTTTTCTGTTTTAGGTTCTGATGACGGTTCTTCTAACAGCTCAACTTAACTACTCCACAGGCATAAAGAGTATGTGTTCTCATTCATCAGTGCATCTCTCTCAGTCCTGTGAAATGAATGAAATGTAACATGTTTCTTCTGGCTTTTCAGGAGACTGGACATGTGCGAGAATCAAGTTGAAAAAACGATGCTTGTCGTGATGCCCATCTTGCTTACAAAAATGCACAACACACACACACACACACACATACACTTACACACAAAGAGAGGGAGAGGGAATCATAGATTTCTGGGATTTATGTTTTATGGTTCTGAATTAATTACATCTAAAAAGTAATGTTTTTGTTTCTTCACACTTTCTGTTCATCTTATCAACTTTTGAATTTTACCATATAGAAATACAACTCATTGATTACCTACATTAGAGAATGTGTATATTTCTCTTTAGTGACAGAAGAAAACAAAGAACACAAATCATTGATTGACAGGGTTTGTAGATTTGAGAAGATTGATTTGTAGGATTGTGACGTCAGGACTGAACATTAAAAAGAAAGTGTAAAGCTGAAGTGTTTTATATCTCCTGTGTAGAGCAGCGTCTCCGATCATTTTTTATGTCTGTGTGTTTCTACAGTGACATTATCTGTGGAAGCTAGAATATGAAGTAAATCAGGGGAAGACTGCTAACAAGTCCTGGAAAAATTGTAAACTTTAAAATGGTATAGACTAGAGTGCATGATTTGTGAAATTTGTCCTTTCTGTCAATTAAATTTACCACTATGTAGATTTCACTTTTTATTCCTTGTATGGAATTATTATTTTTATTCCTTGTATGGCTTTTTTGTATTTCCTTCTTTTCTATTTCCTCATTAATTTTTTTAATTATTTAGATAAGCTGTAGTACAGAATAATAGTTGATTAAACTGTTACATATATCTGAACAATACAATAAAATACAGATATTTTCCTTAATTTGAGGTTTCTAAAGCTAAATTATTTACATGAATGTTTTTATTTGTATATTGGTTGCATTCAAAAAGTTGTAATGCTGTTTTGATTCTTTCGAAATAAATAAACCTCACAAAATGAGCAAGTGGCGAATGTCTTTTACATTTTACAAATAGGAGAATTAATATTTTATCACAATTAATTAACAACTGAAACAAGACCCAAAAGGGTCATAAAGGCATAAAATATAGAAAAATTTTAAATATTTTTTTTTAATGAATAAATAAATATGTATAGATGACAACCGTGACTGTGGTAGTTCCAGCTATCACAGAACAAACATTTAGTCTACATAAATTTAAAAATGAAAAAAAAAAAAGTTTAGTGAATTTAGTTAATATGTCATGCTATAGATGACATCAGGACTAATTTTTATTTATTTATTAAAAAGACTTGAATAAACAACAACGTGTGTTTTTTAATCACCAATATATATATATATATATATATATATATATATATATATATATGAAGAGTTCAGATGCAAAAGCCTCTAAATGCCATTTGAAATTTTTTTTTCCAAAATGATCATTTTTATCAAGCCTTTTATATTCAAGTTCAGTAATTTCACTTAAATGACAATTAATAGGTAATCCTTATTGCAATTTAAGTGAAATTACTAAACTTAAATATACAAGCTTGATAAAAAATTATCATTCTAGAAGAAAATTTCAAATGGCACAGAGGCTTTTGCATCTGAACTCTTCATATATATATATATATATATATATATATATATATATTGTTTGTTTGTTTGTTTCAGGATTTTATATACCAAACTTTGTAAAGATGATTCTCAACTATCTTCTGAAAGATATTACAGAATGATTTGATATACCATTTTACTTTATGCAAAATGTGTGTAAAATTGTCATAAGTGGGTTTTTATTTTATACAATGTATCCATACATTATAACTAATTTGCATATTAATGTGTTCTTGGTGCAACATGTAATGCAAAAAGGAGTGTAATAGTAATTGGCTAGATTTTGATAATAATTTCTAATATTTCATAGGAATATTTAAATATAATATATTTCCCTGTGTCTCCCAAAATGCCTGATAAACATGATTTAAATGCTGGTGTCCAATACAGTGGACATGTGTGAAATATGTCTTGTTTCATAACAGTAAGTCAATTTGATTTGAAACCCCATAACATTTTATTGAAATGTTTATTTATGATAAACAGTTAAAAAATAGTAAGATTTATATGATAATTAATTACAAAATATTATCATATTCCATACATCTGCACTTAAGTAACGTCAGTCATTTTAAAGTCCAGGGAAAGGGAGTTGTCATTGTAAAACTTCCTAATATTTGCTATCTCTGAAAAGCCCTGAATGTGCTCTTTATAGAACGTCTTGTGACATGTGACGTATAAAACTGTGACATGTATTATGTCAGAAGCGGATTCCGTTCAGCGACTTCTTCGTTTTTCTGAATTAATGAGTTAATCATCTCAGAATTACGAGATAAATTTCCATGGAACAAAAGTTTTTGTTCTGTCTTTCTGAATTAATGATTTGAATTTACTTATGAGTAACTTATTCATTCATAAAAACAGTTTTTCAAGAAAAATATATCTCATAATTCTGAGATAATAACCTCATTAATTCAGAAAAACAGAGCAAAAACTTTTTTTCTATGAAAAATTATCTAAAACAGAGTAGATTTTGTTTCCTCAAGTGAATGAAATATGGTTCCATAAGTTTGATTTATTGTGGAGTCTGTTTTTCTGCTGATTTCTGGTTTATTTTAGTGTTTCTGCTGTCTTCACTTTTTAAATTAAAAGGTCTGATTTAGTAAAACTGAAATGTATAATGAAATGCTTGTCTGATTTATTAAAATTAATACATTTGGTCATAAGCCAAAATAATTTTTATTCCTGCACTTTCTTTTTATGTTTGTTTACTAAGGGTGTCAAAAAATCTTTTCATAAATGGTTCAAAAAAATGAGGAAAAACCCACCTTTAAAGACACACATTTTCTTTGTGAATGAATAATGTATTATAAATAAATAAATAAATGTTTTTCCTTATAATACAGGACACCGCTATGTTAAATTCTCATAGTGGTCGGTAGAGTTTTATTTTTAAAGGCCAGTTATTTCATGGTTCCAGGATAATATGCATCTTCTTGATAAAGTTCCCTTGGTCTTTGGAATTAAAAAAGTCCCACATCATCACATTCCCTTCACCACATGGGGTAGTCAATGTAAATCAAACCTGCTATTAGCTAACTGAAATAAAACCATGCCAATCTCTATGGTGAAGGCTGTGTGGGGATGTGGGGATATTTAATTAATGTTCAGAACGAGCTAGCTTCTCTAGCCCGTACTGCAGTATAATCAGAATAATACACACGCACCCCACCCCACACCTAACCAATCAATGCGTATCATATGCACATAAAAACTCACTTTTATTGTATAAATGACACGACAATACACATGCGTGCTAGACGCATTTAGTGCGATCACTTGTATCCCAACATAGGCTCAGACGTTCAAATTGTCAGTCCAAAAAAAAAAAAAACCACACATGAAATACGTTTCAACTTATGTGGTTTGAAATCCTATTCACATTTCTGAACAATCGGATTTCAGGTGGTATGATACCGATGAATGCGATTTTTCTAGTTTTTGTGGTTTGTTCCGACGGTCAGACATGTATTTATCATTGATTCCAGAATTTTTTTTTTTATTTGTTTAAAAAAACATTCTTCCTTGTTCAGATTTCATCCGTGAACATCATACGCTGCACATAAGTCCGCCACCATCAATGAATTGCAAGTAAAGGCAGAGATAGCAGCGTTACCTAGCTACATCCTATGACAAGACCCCTGTTTCAAGATGGCGGCGGTTTTGACGCATGATTAGAACCCCAAGGTGACGTCTAGTGTATATGCCTATGGTCACAGACAGAGTGGATGAGACAGAAAGAAGAAGCAGATTACTGAGACACATAACACAACTTGTTGCTGGAACTGATCTGGCATTCAGAAACAACATCCAAGTGCAAAGAACAGTTCAATCACTCATCTTTATCATGAACACAAAATACATACACAACATACTGTAGCAGGATACATTTACTTCTTCATGTGTACACTTATTATTTTTAATCAAAATACCCCTCAAAATACTTTTCTCTTCTCTGATGATGTGTTTACATTTTTCTTGTTTGAGAAGTTTCACTAGCATACAATAAAATATCGCAACTTATGTTTGATGCTGAATATATACGTGTAGCTGACATAAAGAAATCTGACTAAAATCTGACATTAATGGTACATAATTGCTGTTTATTAACCTCAAACACTAATATATATATATTTCAAAAGTGAGCTCAGGTTTTAGATAAAGAGCAAGAGGTGACTTTACCTTAAAGGACCTTAAAGGAGTAGTTCACTTTAAAAAAAAAACTTTAGCTGATAATTTACTCACCCCCATGTCATCCAAGATATCCATGTCTTTCTTTCTTCAGTCAAAGAAATTAAGGTTTTTGATAAAAAACATTCCATGATTTTTCTCCATATAATGGACTTCAATGGCAACCAAACAGTTCAAGGTCACAAAGACAGTTTCAGTGAAAACTGCAAACTGTTCAAAGGGCTTTAAAGGATTCCAGACGATGAATAAGGGTCTTATCAAGCGAAACAATCGCTCATTTAATAAATAAATAACAAAGTTTAAGTTTTATAAGCTCAAATGTTTTTATAACCTTGCCTTGCTCATGTTCTGTGACACACGTTTGTGACTCTCCTGTTCGAACTCGTTCATCAAAATGAACAAATCTTTTTCCGAGTCAATTCGTTCATTTCGTTCGTTGAATGAACCAAATGACACAGAAAAAAAATTCGGTCATTTTGAGTGGATTCATCATTAACAAGTGGAATAATAACCAATGCATTCTCATCCCAAGGCGTCACTTTTGACCATGCTTCAATATATGACGTTTTAGGTGCAGTTTAGCGTCAGTTACATGACGCGATCCTACGGCGTCATCTAACTGACGCTAAAGGAAAGCGCCAGGTAGATGACGGGGTTAGGTTTAGGTCTGGGGTGGGGGTAGGGTTACACGCGATCCTAGGGCGTCATCTTTAACTGACGCTAAAGGGCGCCTAAAGCGTCAGATATTGAAACATGGTCAAAATGCTTCCCAAGGCGTCAGTTAAGTGACGCCTTGGGGGTGAGAATAAGCTGTAATAACAGAGCTTCTCTTGTGAGCGTAAAACATTACTTCAGCATTGTGTGCATTGAGTGGTTGAAGAAGTATGTGGGAAAGAGCAGCCTGCAGAAAACAGGTACATCAGTAATTATGCAGAAGTGAACATGTGCAGGTTTTCATAATCAGGGATATCACCCTGTAGCCCAAGACTGGGTGTCCACTAAAGGTGGGCTGAGGCCTGTCAGTACCTGGATGGGAGATTTCCTGAGAAAAACTATTTCTGGAAGAGGTGTTAGTAAGGACAGCAGGGGGCGCTCAGTCTGTGTCTGTGTGGGTCCTAACGGCCCAGTATAATGACAGGGACACTGGACTGTAACAAGCACCATCCTTCAGATGAAACCTTGAAACAAGGTCCTGATTATTACAATACAACCTGGTCATTAAAAATCCCATGCCACTTCTCGTAAAGAGTAGGGGTGTCCCTGGTGTCCTAGCCAAATAATTATTCCTGCTCAATGAATTAGCACAATTTTATGTTGTGGAGAAAAGAAATCTCTTTCTTGCGAATTAAGCTCAAGAGGCCGAGTTCCAGACATCCCTATCTCGAGATCCTGCCAATGATGGTCAACCCTCTCTCATTAGGAAAGTGTAATATTCTCCAAGGATGTTCTCTGATGTTTCCACCACAGAATAAAACTTTTTAAAAGATAATTACGACTTTTTATCTCACAAAATGGACTGCATTTATATAGCACTTTCACAGACCCAATGGCCACCAAAGCACTTTAAATTTTGCCTCACATTTACTCAATCATTCATACACCGACGGCGGTGTCAGCCATACAAGGCGCCATCCAGCTCGTCGTGAGCAGCTGGGGTTAGGTGTCTTGCTCATGGACACCTCGA